TCAATTGTTACGACAACATTTCACCCAGGCCCTGAAACGTTAGGTTGCATATGGCTATGTATCAGTTGGACCACTTAATTAGTATTTGCCTATAAGAGATTAAAGGTCCATTAGTACCTCTAAGGAGGATGCAAACCTTTGTCTATACTAACCTTATCTCGTTCACAATCACAAGTACTAGAAAAGATCAAACCAGCAAAAAAAATGAAAACAGCATAATTATTCAAAGGCAAAAAACCTTTAGATATTACAACAACTAAAATAATTTAGAAAAAAACATCATATAAAATGTTGTCTTTTGATATGGAAAACTGAAAATGCAAAAACTATAACAAACTCACTCCAACCCAAACCTAGTAGGAAAGTTGTTGGTGTTAAGAGCAGAAAGATCCATGGAAGGCATGTAACTGGTGCTTGGTAGTTGATGGTAGTTGTAGTAGTTGTCGTCCATGGGAGCAACATTTGCAAGCTCTTCAGCATAATTCATCTGCTGAGGTTGTTCCATCCATTGGTTCATGAACGGTTGATTCTGTGGATTTGGATACTGATTGAAACTCTCATTCAGATTATGATTAAAATCCAAACCCATACCCTGGTTCAGACCATAGAATCCATATTGATTCTGATCATACACATTATTAGGCACTTGGTATTGAAACTGGTTTTGATGGTTCATATTCTGATATTGAACATGGTTAGGATAATAAGTTGGAATCTGGTGTTGAACCAACTCTTGCTGATTCATATTCTGATATGGAATATAATCATTATGATATGCATGAGCTTGTTGGTTCATATCCATATTCATGTTTTGAATATGATCAGAAAATCCAAAAGGCATCGTTACGTCAGCAACATCTGCATCAGCAATAGGGTTCACATCCATAACAACAGGATGGGCTGTATCCACAACACCGACATCAAGGGGAGGAAACGAATTTTGCTCACCGTTAGCCTGAAGCATGTAGATCCTCTTATTTAGATCACTGCTATAAGATTCAAGTAACTTACTCAAATCTTGAAGATCATTTGCATCATGATAATGATGTCCCCTCGTTAGCCTCTTCCCTCTGAAAAGATCGAACATAATCTCTTTAAGTTCAAACTCTCGGTTCTCTTCTTGCAGCCTCAGGAGTGTTGCTTGTTCTTTCATGATCCTCTCGTACGTATAGGTCGGTTGGTTGTACATCTTCTTTTCCCGTTCCACCTTCGGAAACTCCAGAAACTTCGAAATCACCTCATCAGCACCTCGCCATGACGGCCAAACCTCCGGGTTCTCATCGTTTTCACCGCTGTAGACGACAGCACAGGCTTTGACGCCGCAGAGAGTCACAAGCTCGTTGAGTTTCTTCATAATCCCTGCCTTCCTCTTCTTGAACGTTGTTCTCCTTGATGTTTTGTCAGCTATGAGTGTTAACTTCACCCTGGACCTCACCATGACTATCTTGTTTTGTGTGTGGGTGAGACTTGTTGGTACCCTGGTTGTTTATATAATGGCTGGAGGGGTGATTCTAGGCATTGTGTTGCATATCATTGCTGGACTCATTAACACTAAATTGTAGTACTGGCCCATAACTGTCTATACTCCCTTCTACTAGTGTGTGTGGCTAAGGTGCATTTCTTTATTTATTTTGAGTCAGTTGTATTTGTTGAGTTTTCTTTTATATAATACTAACTTAGCTTAGTATATTATTCTCGTTTTTTTACGATCACTAGTTTCTAGCTTTGTTCAAAAATTTTGAAATTATGCAATGTTATGTATTCCTATTTGTTTGGAATGGAGTTATAAAGTTAAGATAAATGTAAAATCATGGTATGAAAAAACAAGAAAATATTATATGCGAGAAGATGTGATCTCACAAAATATTATTTTAGTGCACAAATTGTTTCAAAAGATATCTACGCAAAAATACTTTTTACATGATTAACTAAAGTTTATGAAAGAAATCTAACCCATCTAGTAAAATCGTATTATTTAGAAAGAAAATGATTGATTGAAAGGGATAAAAAAATCATTTAATATTAGAGATCATTTCTTAAATTATCCTACCTTTTCAAAATAAGAAAAAAACTGCCAGCTAATTCTGGGTAATTTTTGCTTTCAAATAATTTTCAAATTACAGTAAGAAATTCTCCCTAATATAGTAATATTAAATTTCTTAAATTATCCTACCTTTTAAGTTCTAAGAAATGAAACTGCCAGCTAATTCTGAGTAATTATTTTGAAAGAAAAAATAGAAAAACAATTTTTGTTTTCTTTCACTATGAAAAAAAAAAAACAATCTGTGTACCCAAAAAATGAAAAATAAGAAATTCACATTTTTGGGGGTTTGGCAGGTACTGCTCTTATCAAGATTGTATTTACAAAATGCAGAAAATTTCTCTATAACAAATATCATATATTTTTATATGATTTATTTTTGGGTTCACCTCCTAGAATAGCATGGTGTTATTTCATATTTGATATCTTTTAAAAAAAAGAAACAAAATCTTGTTAAATTAAACTATGTTTTAAAAATAAAGTATAAAAAAATAAATAAAAATAATATTAATTACAAAAAACGAAAAAAATATTTTAAAAAATATTTAACGTTATATTGTTTTTAAAAAAATAAAATGATAAAAATAAAATAAAAACAGTAATAATAGCAAAAAAACAATTAATAAAAAATCTTTTAATATATCTTTAAAATGAAAATAAAATATTGTTACATTATATTATATTTTTAAAATAAGAAGATAAAAATAAATAAAAAACTGTATAATTGGTTAATATTAATTTTTTTGATTTAATGTTTAAGATTTTTCCAAAGGGTTTATGATTTACCCAAGGATTTAGGATTAGGGTTTAGTGTTTTAGTGTTAATTTTTTTTTTAATCTTTTTTTTAATATTATTATTTTTATTTAATTTTTGTATTTTTATTTTAAAAGCATAATATAACTTAACAAGATTTCATTTTCTTTTTAAAAAGATATCAAATATGAAATAACATTATTCTATTGGTTGGTGAATCTATAGGTTTATTCTAGGGGGTTAAACCAAGAATAACTCTTTTTAGATAATTATTTTATGTAATACCGCTAAGAATGTTTTTTCCTGAAGGAAATGATTTTATGTAAAATATAACTTAATTTTTCATCAGACCAAAGCTAAATCTGAGATTAATTTATATTATCTTAGATTTTTAGTTTAATCTAGGTAATAACCCGCACCTTACGCGGAATGAGATTATTACTTTTATTACTTTTAAGATAAAATGTTATTATGTCTGTTTAGCACGAATATTGGTTCAGTTTTACGTTGTTTTTTTAATCTCCTAAAATATAACTATCATTCTAAATCTATATTTATTTTGGTTTGTTTGGTTTAAATGTTTGATTTTTTCGATGATAACCAAAAACTATTGTTATTTGTTTGGCTTTGTTTTATATAAATTTTAGACATTTTTATGTCGAACTAATAGTTTCCTATTATAATTTCTAAAGACATGTAAAATCAAATAAAATCGAAATAATACTTGAAAAAAAATTATTAACATAAAACATTTCACTACCATTTGAGCGGATGGTGAAAGAAAATAATATAAAAAAAATTCAACTTCAATAAGAATTAAAATTCTCACTTGGGGTGAATATTTAGTTATAAAGTCGTTCATGTCAATGTGTACATGTATGTATATGTAAAAGTATATAAATGTGATTATAAATATATGAATATACCGTTAATTAAGATTTAAAATATTTTTTTTCAAAATAACACATGATAGTAAATTCTTAAATAAAATTAAGTAAAAATAAAACAAACCTAGAAATTAATAACATTTTTTCATATGAAGAAAATCAAATTGTACCCGTAAACAATAAAAATAATATATATTATAAAGTGACATCTTCAATTGGTACATGAATTTCGTTTTAATCGATTTTGTGATTTTTATTTATTTTTAAAGCTTTTCTGATTTCTGATTTGTTTGCAACCAATTTGATTTTGTTTCTAATTATTGGTGTGATATGAAAACTTTATAAAAATGTTAATATTTAACCAAACTAAAGATCCGACTTTACGTGTGGTGTTTTTCACCTCAGCTTCTTTAATTCATAATCAATCACCTTATTTGTTATTATTGTGTACTAAAGCCTCAACCATGACCAACTTCGGCAAGGTACGAAACTTTCAATTTTTACAAACATTTTCATCGCAACATTTTAGTTGATATGAATCTTAATGATTTTATATTTTTTTTACAATAAAGATATTATTCATTAGTTTCACGTAGAAAGTTTTAATTTATTCATAGAAAAGCTAAAAATTTAGGAAAATGAATTAATTAAAAATAGTGTATAAACACATTAAATAATGAATTAAAAAAATTAGTGTGTGAACATATTTATTTCCAAATGATTGTAAGGCTGACACGTGTCAATTATAGTGTGAATGCATTTATTACAATGTTGGGGTATTAGAAGGTTTTGGGCTGAAACCCGTTAACTTTTTGGGTCCGAAATGATAATAATGTACTACTAGGTAATCAACACAATAATAACATAACAGTTCTCTCCTGTCTTGACACATCAACTTTTCTAGGCTTAGTATAGATGACATGTCAATAAATGGAAAAAACTGATCATCCAATTATAACATTTCATTTATACACATAAGCAACACATTGGATTTTTACTTGGGTTTTCGCCTTTTTGCTACACGGAGACATGCAAAGAGAATCTGAATCTGAAACCCATTCTCCCCACGTCTAATACTCTTCCTAGAATTTTTTTTGACATGTTATGTTAAGAAGACCACCAAAAATTGTTTGAATCAGAAGCCCAATTTTTTTGTCACCCACATGAAAGAGTACTAACAACGGTTTCTATTGAAAAATCTCTATCGAGGTTTCTTACACTACAAGAAAACAGGGCATATTCCGAGGAAAATTCTGACCGCCAAAAAAATCCTCAGAATATCCCGATGAAATTCAGACGAAATTCTGCAGAAATCTAAAAATTGTGTTTCCTTGGAATTTCGTCGGAATATTCCGACGAGATTCCAAGGAAACCTAGAAATTGTGTTTCCTCGGAATCTAGTCGGAATATTCCAACAAGATTCTGAGGAGACAACATTCCGTCGGTATATACCGAGGACATTTCGAGGGTTAATTATAGTCGTTATCGAACCGTTGGGAAAGGTCAAAAATTCTGACGACATTTCGACGAATGTAAACGTCTCTCGAAATTTCATCGGAATATTCCAAAAAAATTTCGAGGGACATTTATAACCGTTGTATAGCCGTTATATATTCCGAGGAAATTCCGACAGAAAATGAATTTTCGTCGGAATTATCGGCAACATTTCATCAATAAATACAAGCACCCTTCATTCTCTTTCATTCATTCAATATTCTCATCCTCTCACTTATCACACGAATCTGGTTCACAAAAACATGTCTTCTTCAAATTATTATCATTCGTGGATGGATAGACCTCATTTAGATCCTGACACAAAATTACTTACGGAAGAATACCTAAAAGGCATTAGGGAATTCATGGCGGTAGTTCAACGACAACCAGAAGCAAAAACGGGTATGTTAAGATGTCCTTGCTCTACTTGTAAAACTAGAAAGTTATAAAAGAGTGGGATGTTTGGACTCATCTATATTTGAACGGGTTTACAATAAGTTACAAAATTTGGTATCATCACGGAGAAACTGGTTATGAATATGGTAGTACTAGCGAACCTCAGACATCGGATAGGTTAGAAGAACGAATTAGAACGGATGTAGAATTTGGTGTACGTACTGAGTAGATGGTAAATGATCATTTTAGAGGGGAAGAATTACCCAATGCAGAAGCTAGGAGATTTTTTTATATGTTGGATGCAGGAAAACAACCTTTGTACCAAGGTTGCAGAGATGGTCATTCACCTTTATCATCTGCAACAAGACTGATGGGCATTAAAACTGATTATAATTTGGCTGAAGAATGTGTGGATGCGATTGATGCTTTTGTAAAGGGTATTCTATCAAAGGATAATCTAGCCTCGGGTTCATACTACGAAGTTTAGAAACTCGTAGCTGGTCTTGGTTTACCGTATCAGGTAATAGATGTATGCATCGATAACTGCATGATATATTGGAGGGCGGATGAGAATCGGATTACATGCAAATTTTGTGGCAAGGCTCGTTATAGAGATACGAGTGGAAGAGTTCCAGTGCCATATAAAAGGATGTGGTATTTTCCTCTGACATAAAGGTTGAAGAGGTTGTATCAATCTGAACGCACAACCCAACCAATGAGATGGCATGCGGAGCATTCGTAAGTTGGTGAGATTAGACATACTTCAGATGCAAAAGCATGGAAGCATTTCCAATCAACATATCCAGAATTTGCATCTGAGAGAAGAAATGTCTACTTTGGATTACTTACCGATGGTTTCAGCCCAT